CACATATAGTATTTTTCTTATTACACAGACATGTACATATATCACAACCACGGGAGTGAATCGAAAGGCGTTTCCCGACGTGATAAATTGATTCTTCCCCGAGGAAAAGATTCCGAGACGCGCGCGTGCAGAAGTAGTATAAATTTTTAACGATGTCCTAGAAATCTAGCCACGTTGACGTATGACAAATTCTTGGAAAATTGCTGCAAAGTTCGAGTATGACACATGGTGTGCAGCCGTAAATATCAGCAAATATCGACGAAGTATAAGATCCACGTGCGTCCTTCTGTCCTTCTTCGTCAAAGGCCTTGCACTTTCCCCTAGTTTCGCGGTCATATGTAACTCTCACGTACGTAGTTGCGTGTTGCATCATGTTATCAAATAATTTTACTTTCTCTATGTATCTTCCGTCTCACGGTCGCACGGATGACTCGCCTTTTTTTAATCGTGTACTAATTACTAGATAGATATTAATTAGATATTAATTATAATTGTTAGAAGTGTGTTACCATTTCGTGGCTGTTGTTGCATCATCGTCATATTTTTATGGATAAAGTGAGTCATTTTTAATAATTTTATATAACAAATATCATAATAATGATAAATTGAAGGGTATTAATATTAATAATGATATAAAAAATACTAATTATAATACTATTAAAACTATAATGGATACGTACGTGTTTTGATTCGTATAATTTTTACTACACGTGTATCGAAATATATAGAGATGTATTAATATATTCAAATCTTATTTGAATGTAACTGTTGTGTAAGAAAATGTAAATACATTTACGTTATATAATTTTCGAAACAAATACATGTGTGATATTCTAAATTGTAAAATTATAGCAATAACATAATTTTGGATATAATTAAGCAATCGTTTTAATATAAAAAAAAATTATTTAAGATGAGATACACGTGGACTTTATTCACGTTGCAAATAATTCTTCATTTATTGATTTTATATCTATAATTTTTTTATTATCTATAATTTTGAATCACCAGAATGGTGCACATTTCGAATTCTCGAAACTCAAAATTTTCTTAGGTTCTGAGAGCTCTCGAGAGCTTTCAACGTTTCGAATAAACCATCCTTATTTTTAGCATTTTTGAAAAACTTCTTACTCATCACTTGATGTAACTAATGTTGCCATTGTTATATGTTTCATTTAGCAATATCGTATGCTTATTTCGCAAATGATTTCGCATAAATAATAATCACGACTTAAATATGTTAGCATACTCGTATCGTATCAGTCGATACGACACGTGTGCACATAATTAAAAACCAGTAATTTATATACTGACGGGTAGCACGTGCATTTAAACGGGACTTTCTAAAAAAGAATACACACGTCGCATGCATTATACATGAGATCGAGTTTTTTTCATTTATTTACTCGTTCTCGATATAACAAACAAGTGGAATGTATTTTTCTTTTTTTTTCAAGTGCGGACGTATAAAAAACCTAAGTTCTAAGTCACGTAGCGAACCAAATGAAAAATCGTCCGGATCGCAGACAGAGAAGTGAGATCGTTGCGGAAATTGCGAAGTTTCGGCGAGCTAAATGAATCTGCACGCAAATCGGGGACGGTTGGCGAAAGCCAGTGTAGACGAACCGAAAATTCAGCACGTGTGCCCTTATTGAAGGCCGCTCGCAATCAGTTCCCTCGCTGTTTTCTTCTCTCTCTCTCTCTCTCTTTCTCTCTCTCTTTTCTCTTTCCCTACAATGCAACCCCTCTGCAATCCAACTGTACAGCTCCCTCGTTGACCTTCATTCGTACGGGGAAGTTGCCGTTGACGGATGTCTGCATTGTAAAGCCACCACTTTGCTTTCGTTCGGGCGCTGGGTGCGAATACAGAAACGCCTGACGACTGACACCTACAATATATCACAACTGTTCCCCTCGTGAATTATCGCCGGCACATTCGTCATGAGTCAAAATTGCCGTTACGCTCCTTTTATCTTGCGCCACGTGCATCGATGGCTCACATTTAATGAGAAACATCACGCGGCTGAACTCGAGCCATCGAGTTCCTCCACGGACTTTCGCGAAGAATAATCGGTGATCGTCGATCGATCGATCGCTGATTCCCTATTGCAAATATATTTAGATATGTTTAAATGTACATATAATGTAAATTTATTATATATTTATTATTAAATAATAATGATTAATATACGATATATTATATTACATATATACATATTTGATAATGTATTTAGATACACATGTTATATATATGTATATTTAATATATCCACGTTTTTAATATATATACGGATCTTACGAATATAAGACATTTATATAATTTCCGGTACTACATATGATATTGCTAAAAAAATATTTAACGATATTAATAACATACAAATATGATGTTTTTCAACAAGCAAAAAATTGCTGACAGTAGAAAGAAACTCGCCTATCTACAATTTAGAATATTAAAATTCATGTATCTATTCATATTCTATACATTAATAATATACACAAAATAAAATTTGAATATGTTAATATATTTTAATACATGTGTATTCATGCATTCATGTATATTATATATATATTAAAACCTACATCGATTAAAGTACACGGACATTTTCATTATGCGTATGTTTTTAATGAATATTCAAAACTATAAAGTTTATGAGTCAATAAATTTCTTGACTCTTTGAATTTTAAAAAATTCTAAACGATAATTTATATCCAGTCGTTTAAGCCTGAAAGTAGAAATATGAGTGTAAGTAATTAGGCAATTAACTACGATGATTAGAACATTCAACGTATTTACATGAAATTGTTTAACAGAATGTTATTACATCAGATAAAATTCATTTTAAAGTCATTTTGAAACTAAGTATATGTCCGTTATCCATGAACGTATTTTGTGTTATTATTTATAACTGAAAGAAAAAACGAGCACTTTCGGAGTGCTTTATTTCAACATAAATATGCACACACTTAGGCATAATGAAATTCAATACACAGAAGAAGATTTTTGTTAAACTTTCTTTCAGAATTTATACAAACAAATAAACAACAACAATTTTTTTGCTTGTATCAAAAAAACCAGTGCCCGAGATTGTGCAAATGCTAGTATAATTTGTAATTTAAGAAAAGGTAAATCAATGCATATAAATTTTAATCATTAATGCAAATTAGTTATCAAATATTTGTAAGATCCCTCATACTGCGAATATTCTTTATACGCATTATATATATTCGTTCACTCGTTCATTCACGAAATATTTTAGGAGAATTGTTGCTGGAATTGGATTATGTTGCGGTTATCGATATTGTTTCGTGGTCGCACGTGGTGCGATGAAATCTGAGGTCAGAGTAGTCGGGGTAACCGTTCGAGGGGAGACGAGAAGTCGTGCCTGGGTCTATTGCTTTATTTCGGTGCCTGCACGTGCAACGACGTTTACAGTAATCAGGTCATCGCCTGCATCGATCGCGTAGTTAACCGGTAGAAGTGAACACGTGCAATTCATAGCTAAATCGTACTATATACGTTGGTCCTCTCCATTGAACATAGAAATCATGATCTTGCATGTTAATTCTTACATAGGTATTTTAAAACATGTCTCTAAAAAAAAAAAAAAAAAGAAAATCGTATTTTCATGATTTTCACGATATATACTTGCTAAAAAGTCAAATAATTGAGAAGTTAAGCACGAGTACGTATTCTTTTCTTTTTTTCGTGCAACGACAATTGATCGGAAAACAAAAACATTAGAAGCTACTAAGGTATTGATGTTACAAGCTGAAAGTAATTGCAAATTCGCTCGAGTAGTTAACCCTGTGATAATATTAATTTCGTACTTCTATACATAAGTACTTGGTTCTTTATTGTGCTTTTGCTTGTATTTATTTTAAAACGTTTCACGTAAGTATCGTAACACGCATGAACGTTATGAAGTACACAGTTTACGTCGAACATCGCGCACGTACCTTTTGCTGAGGTCAAGGTGCAAAACAACAACGGCTCGTGCCGGTAATATTAGATGTGAAAGTTATACTTACAAGTGAAACTTTCAATTCTCGATCCTTTGTTTATAAATACACAATTCCCCCTGACTTAATATACATAAGTGGGACGATGTTTCCACACCAATAAAAAGGAATTTAACTAAACTAAACTCCTGTAATTTTGTAAGTTTAGCAATTAAGTCTAATTTGATTTCATAGTCATTTACAACGGTCATCAATGGTATTCTCATCGATAAATTTAATTTTAAAATTGCTGTCTTCTCTAGTAATAAATTTACAGATTTATTCCAACTGAGATGTACAATGCAATGTCTGCGTTGAATACTGAATACTAATCAAAAATATAACAAGATATTGCCACGTGTAACAATTGTCAACGAAAGCATTTACTCATGTAGCAAAACGCATCATTGATTATGTAGGTCATCGATTGTTCTCCCTTCGTTAAATTACGCAGATGGCTACTAGTATTATTACATATAGCTGACAGAGCAATTACCATGAAAGTCAATAGACTCCTGGTTTGTAAATGTAGTTTCATGAAAACGTGAACATTTTCATGAATGGTCTGAAAGGAACATTCAATCGATCAAGAAATTAAATAAAGTCTAGTTAAGTGAAAATTTTGAAATTCGTCTATGCTCGTGATATGTATCTATACTGCGAATATCTATTCTATGATATATTAATATAATAAAATTATTTTTGTAATACTAGGTTCAGTTTTTTCCCGCCAAACAGTGTCGGATATGTTCCGCGACTAAAAATAGAAAAAAAAGAAGAATATGTCGTAACAAGTTTTAATGAAACAAATTTTTTTCTGGTTTTTTGAAATAAAACATATCGACAAAAATATGAAAAATTGAAAAAAAAAAATGAATATACTTCTTGTATACATAAAGTCTTGTATACATAAAGAATATACCTTAATAATTTTATTTTCATTCTCCTTTTTTTTTCTTTATTATTCCCAGTCTTATTTCAGTTTATTTCTTCTGATTCCAGAGCTTTCATTAGAAAATGGCTCCGACTGTTTATCTGTCGGAACTACCAATCATAAGAACACCAACGACGATTCCGTGTTCACGGCGAAGACAGAGGGTTCTTAACGGGGCTATAGTAAAGCAGCAGAGGCTAGAATTTAGACGATTAGAAACGAATGCGTCTTCTGTCGACGATGCGACTCTCACACCACCTCAAAGTCCTTTTTGGGAACCAGAGAGTCCCAATGATTCCTGTGCCCCAATTATTGTCAGTTCTTCCGCCCCGAACGTTTCTGCTCGAGTTCCAGCGGATATACAGGAACGTTGGAAGGTGTTCTTAGCAAGACGGAAAGGTACATTTAGTATAATTAACGGCAAACAATCAATATAGAAAAAGAGTAGTTTTCCAGAGAAGATTTCATTAATTTTTTTTTTGAGAATTTTTGTTATATTTCATATATTTTTATATATTTATACATATAATTTTCATAATTTTATATTTATATATAAATATATATTATATATGTATACAATTTAATTATAATATAATTAAATATATTATATTTATATTTATAATTATATGACACTTATATAATTTTACTTTTTATAAATTTAATTTTGAAAATTTATGTTAAGAAATGGAGTGATTTTTTATTTCGATTGTTGATTGAGAAATATTGAATAACAATGATTTATCAATATGTTGCATAATAAATTTACTCATTTAATAGAAATTTTAGAAATAATAATTTGTATTTAATTTTGATTGTATTACTAATTCTAAAAAGATTTTTCAAAATACAGGTTACTAAAAACTATATTAAATGTATAAGTACAAACATTTATTACATTATGTTGATATAGCGTATATACAATATTATATTAAATAAATATTATCATACATTACAGGTCTTTTAGATATCGTTATACGTACAATGGCTTTGGTACGACGAAATAATATCCTTCAAAAAAAGGTGAACGCTCTGCGTGCAGAGACTCGAGATTTCTTTCATTCGGTGTTGAATAATCCTGAAAATAAGTGCATACAACAAAGATTGGATGCGATAGATTGCAAGGAGGCGGATGTGTCCTCATCGACAGAGGAAATCATGCCAAGACCATCGCTTCCACCCACGCCGGATTCAACGAATTCCTTATCGAACAGTGTCTCGTCGACCTGTGGTAATAGCGACTCGGAACAATCCTCCGATGATGAGTCGTAATGTTTGAGAATGATGCACAAAAGAAAGTAATAAGTTCAGAGCACAAAAATCGAACAGAATGAACCGTCGAAGTGAGATGTTTGACTCACTCGTTATACATATAAATGTATATCGAGCGATTATTATACATTATGTTCAATGATTATGCAATCGCTTCTTGATTAAAAATTTTGCTGATTTGTTACTGAAAATGAAATGAAGCGATTGATTGATCAAATTAATATTATTTTTGCATTTAGTACGATAAGTATTATAATATTAGCACCATTAGTATTTAAACACTGGTCTAAACGAAAATTATAATTTTCATTGGTTATATCTTACATGTTTTATTTATTAGAGTTCTGTTAAAGACTATTCATATCGTAAATTAAAATTCAATTCTAAAACTTCAAAATTCACTATGCATTAACCAAGAAGAGATTGTATGTTACATAATGTATATTGTAGAGAAATTATTCTTTTAAACGTCATCGAGTTCTCCAACATTAGCGACTGTTTTCCTTTAAGAAATATACGCTAAGTTCACGCTCGCTTAATTTTTACGAAATAGTCGTAAAATAATCTAGAATCTACATTATCGATGAAATAGCTTAAAGCACTTCCTTATTATCAATCTTTCCTTTACTTCTATTAACTATATTACTTAGTGGCACTCTAAGAAAAAGACGATTTAATTATTCAACATGAAGTAGAACACTGCAGAAACGCAATATTTTTAATAATAAGAAAAAGAAGAGATTTCAATTATACTTTTAATAAAAGGAAAAGAAATTGAAACGTAAATGAAGTCACACGGAGATGTTGTAAAAAGATATGTATAACGTTACAAAATCGATATAACTTGTAACATACAACGTAGAATTATTACAACTACTTGGTATGATTAACATTTTTAATACTGCATTGAGAAGAGAGCATCGCTACAAGATTTATGAAAATAAAATTGCAGGATTGCTTTGCGCTCGACTTTGGTGTTCAAAGACCTAGGCGCAAAGCTTTTCTATACGAATTTGCTTTAGAATTAGGATTAAAAGAATGGAAAAAGGAAAAAAATGCCCTGCAAATTGGTGGCTGTGAAATTTGTATTCGCATCTGTAACTCTTTCTCTTTTATAATGCTAGTTCGCGATTAATTGAATTAGAAATTGTCCGTCTTTTCCGATTAAAATGACGGCTACATTACAAGAGGATATTCTCGATCGATGAAAATAGATTTTTAGGAAATCTACAGTAGTATCCCATAGAATTAAGTAATAAAAGCTTTTTGATCTAGGCAAATTTTCCAAGCTCATTTCATTAATCTTATATTTGACTTATACTGTACTGACATAATTTATACTGTATTGAAGAGGTATTTGCAGATTAAGCATATTGTAAAATAAGCGTTCATTTTTTATTTGTTTCATATTATCGTACGAATAACGTCATAATTTGGGAGACAAAGACTAAAAATAATAAGAATTTTACAAAAATTAATAATCGAAAAATATTTACATTGAAAAAAAAAAAGAAATATTTCTCACTTCTAGCTCTTTAGTAGCGTAACAGGTTTAGAAACATAATATATATTAATCTGCACGTTAAATTTGATCATTTCCTAAACGTAAAACATTAGCGTACCTTTTAGAGAGGTTTAACAAATAGTTTTCAAGTAGAAAACCTCAATATTTATCGATTATAAGTGATATATATATATATGCATATACGTATATTTTGACATATTTCATAAAAAGAACCGAACTTAAAAGCAATGCTAATTCCTCTGAACTATAAAAAGTAAAATGTCATACTAGGTTCTTTATCTATTTATTGTTTTATCATCTATATTAGAAGTATTAAAAGCATGAAAGTTATTCTTTCACCGAAATTAGTCACGATAATTGCATCTTAGACTGTTATCCCCATCGTCAGTAACTTTAAATTCTTATACTATCAGAGTGCATATATCACGAAGAATTTTATATAATTGTTCTGTAAACGGTGTGTAAACAAAAAGAAACAAAACAGAATTACCATTTTCTCGAAGTACGACGACTGACGCTCTTGCCAGTCGAAATGATTGAAAAAGGAAACAAGATGATCCCTTTCCAACTTTGGTGCGACCAATTCAGTGCTATTATACTTTCACTTTTTTCAGAAATTTGATAAGTGAATCGTCGAAGTAAAATCATAACGCGAAGCTGTATATATAAATAACAACTTTTTACATTTATCTTAAAAGATATACTTTTTGAAATAAATATTTTTCAACATAATTAAAATAATTGAAAATTATTCAATGATCGCATTAGAGGTAACACTTACCTCCTCTCTTAATAGGATATACAACAATTTTGTTATTTTCGAGTTAGACAATCAAACGCATTTGTCGAAGATATGTCTCATTGAACGTGTAACTTTCATAAGTCTCCGCGGTGAATCTGAAATCAAAGTAGATTCGTATCTGAATAGCATTTGCAATTAAATAATAAGAATTACAACTGTGGGATTGCTTCAATTGTCCGAAGAATATTTACAATCCTTGTAAAGAAATCAATAACTAAAGAGTTGCTTTGACAGTTCTGACTAAATACACACTAATATTTGCTGTTCAAAAACAGTAATATATATTATAACATATATATTAATACGTGTCTCGCAATGTTCTCGATTTTATACATAAATTGTCGCCATATGGGATCAGTGAAAATCAATCGCTTGAAAGTAACAAAATGATGCAACACATCGCATCGATACAATGATAACGTTGATATATTCCCATACATCGGTATTATAAAATGTGTATTTTCTTAAAATATACAATATTGGAAATAATCCGTGAAAGAAAAGAGACTTTTAACATTAACGATTCAAGTACGAATCTTAACTATTCTATTTCAATGATAGTCGAAAAAGTCATAAAAAAATCATAAAATTATCAGGTTCTTTTGCATTTGTATAGTTAGAAAGAAAGAAAAAAAAAACATTATCTAAATAGTCTAGTTGTTTTCACTTGAACCGAATATCGATCACCATTTAAACAAATATATTAAATCACAAAAATCGTGCCTAAAGTGTATAGGAATCATGTACGCTGTTTCCCGATTGCTATAGCAATATACTAGTTGTAATTTATTCTGCTTAAACATTATTACACATTAGATCAGTGCGAATTAGATCATGTAGCATTTTTGCAAAAACATTTGATAAAATTGTATATCTTTATAAAAGTAAATTATAATACGATAGATAGTGTAAACTGTAAATTACGTTCTCCATGTAGAATAGTAATGATTTGAGAATTCTTAACAGAGGTATACTTTTAGGTAGCATTAGGTCAGTTAATAAGAACCATTGTCTTAATCTTTATAAATGCAATCAACCAGTCAAATAGAAAAGCAATTTCTCAAGTATCAAGTATATGTACATATAGAAAATAGCAAATAGTATAATTTTGTTTGTTCACATGCCTCTGTTTTTACATGGCATATCAAATTTTTTCGATTTTTTATAGTAGTATAGTAATATAGTAGCGATAAGCACCAAATCAAATTAACAATCATAACGAGAAATATAAAGATAGTGAATAATGGTAATTGATTAGGACATCTAGATATTTCCGCTTTTTGTAACGATTATATCAGATATGTAAAACATATTTTAAAAGCTAAAATTTAAAATTATTAATAAATTATTAGGCGAATATTGAAATGATCTCAACCTTTTAAAAGCATTTCTATTAAATTATTCTTTTAAACATCCTTCATAAAATATTTTGAATCCTATGTATGTTCGATTCCATAATATTAAGTGATATTATAGAAAATAAACATTTAATTATTTAGAACTAAATTAAATAGTTCAAATTTTTTGTCAGTGAGATCATTATGACAATTATGATTGACATATAAGACGTAATGAAATCGTAAATTAATTATTAACTGTCAGATTTAAACTATTTTTAACATTCAAAAATATTGCTCATTATAATATCCTTAGCAGTTATTTGCAAGAGGAAATAAAAAGTTCCGTTTTTGTACGTAACATTATTTATTTCAACTTAAAGAATAAAAAATGCTTATTTTTTAAAGCGTTTCATATATAAAAATTATAATTCAATATTTATTTATTTATTTATTTAGTTTAGATTAAATCAAATACATTGTTTATTACCTTTATAGTATTATAACTATTTTTCTGTATAGTGAAAAAATAAATGATGATTTGAATAAATAAAAATATTGATTATTGATTATTAATTGCAAATATAGAATCTCTGTTCCATATTAACAACAATTTTGTATAAAGGGATATCACATATTGCATAACTAACATGATATACACATATTATAAACAAGATTCAATAAAACAATCATATAAATACATCTTTTAAAAAATTAATTCGTGTATCTCTCTAGAAATAAAATTTTCATATATTATATAATACAGTATGTAATAGTATATAAAAAGTTGCCAAGTTAATTAGTAATTAATATTATTATATATGCACCATTCCAACGTAATATTTACAAAAATGTTCTATTACATGTATTGTACATACCAAACATTAATGTGCTTCTGGTGATTGCGATAGAAGAACTATAAGAACCAAAAACTGAAGTAATGTCTGTAAAAATTACAAAAGATATAAAATTTCATCTTTTATTAGCAATTACAATAAATATATTTGTAAATAATTATGAAGTATTTAATGTTTAGTTTTGATATTGATTTGGATTATTCTTTGAAACTATAATAATTTTAAATTAATACATTTTCACTTACCATATAAATTAATACTAAAATTCTTGCAAGAGGATACCTTCTTAAAAATACTCCTGTTCGAATACTAATAGCATCTAATGAAGAATAAGCTCTTTTTACTCTTCTAGTAACTCCAGTATCAAATGGAGTTTCTATCAAAAATGTGGGTACTTGAGCTTTAGCATCATCTGTATCATTTATACTATTATAAGAAACATTACGTCGATTGTTTCTAAATTCATGCTGTGGAAGAAAAGAAATATAAATTGTTAATATTATTATATTTAAAAGAAGAATATCCTAGTTATATATTATAAAATTGTTAGTTATTTTAAAAAATATATTATTAACTTACTTCTATTTTTTCCAATTGTAATCTTAAAGCATTTCTTTCAGTAGTTAAAGTTTCTAATGCTTGCTGTTTTGAAACCAATGTTTGTGTGAGAGATGCCAATCTCGATTCTACCTCGCTACTTGGCGTTGAAGCTGCGGATAATTGCATTCTGAGTCGAGCGATTTCAGAATCATTTTTTTGTAATTGCATAGTATAATTGTTACGTTGACGAATTAATTCATCTTTTAATGATCTTATTTCCTACAATAATAATTAATATTGAACAATCTCGCTATATATAACAAATATAAAAAATATAACTAGAATATCAATATACATCTGAATGTAATCTTGCATCTTCTTCTGCATCTAATCTTCTACGTCTTTCTGTGGCAAGAATTTCTTGAGCTTGTATATTTGCTTCAGCAGACTTTTGTCTCATTTTTTCCAGTTTTACATCTGCATTTATTAATTCTTCACGTACTATTCTTAATTGTTCAGAACACTGTTGATTTTCTTCTCTAAGTATATCACGTTCTTGTCTGGCTCATTTAATGAAATTTATATTAAACAAAATTCCTTAAAAATTTATCCGACTTGTATTTTAGAATTGTAATTACCTTAGTTGGTTTAATTCCATAATTGTTATATCATCCATTCCTGTAGATTCATTACATCTTAATTCTGCTATTAATTTTTCTTTTTCTTGCAGTGTTTTTAAAGCTCTAGCTTTATGTTGTTCTAAATCAGATCTAGTAGAATTTAATTCTGATCTACTTCTTTCTAAAGCTGCTTGTAATTCTATTATTTGCTTAGATAATTGTACTTTTTCTGCATATAAAGACTGTAATTTTTCATTCAAAACTATAATTTCTTTTTGATGGTCTGTCTTTTGTTTCCCAAGTAGCTCATTCCTTTCTTCTAAGTTTCTTTCTACTTCTTTCAAATACTTCTTTATATATTTATTATGAGATGAATTCATCAATTTATTTATTTCCATATTTTCTTGTTTCACATCATACTCATATCCTTGTTGTATAATATTAGACTTTTCCATCATAACATTATGATCTAAAATAAATTAAATTTTTAAATTTTTAATTTAATGCAATTGTATAGATATAAATATATAAGCAAAAATTTACCATTATTCAAAACAACACCAGAATTTTGGTTTTCCATTATTTCATTGTTTAATGCATTTGTTTCATTCTTAGAGAAATTAACATTGTTCACATTAACGTCATCAAGATTGAGATTATCTGGCACTTCTACAGATGTATGCATGAAACTGGGACTAGAGCGACCACTGTGAATTGATAAGTCTGATGCAGAATCTGTAGTATCTGTTGGATGTTCAACCATGAGCGATGAAGGTGTTGGTGGTGACATTGAAACTTCTGTTATATTCTTTTTTGGACTTGAATCTAATGTATTTAAGAGAGTAAGAAGCTCTTCATCTCTAGACATAACAGAATTTGTTGTCAATGAAGAAAGATTTGGTGCTGAACAAACATAAGGGAATTCTTTTGACGGCTCTGTGTATGTAGATTTTAAAATTGAACCATCTTGTGTGTTAGCACTGAAATATATCGAAGGGATTGTTGTTCTTTAATTAACAATTATTAATACATATAAAGTTTAACAAAAATAATGATAAAAAAATAACAAAAACTGATTATGTGTATAAAAATATAACCTTTCTGTATTTCTAAGAAAGCTTGTATATTTTTATGCATACAATCAAATAAAATTCTAGTAAGTTTCAATTATGTATGTATCCCTCTGAATTTTTAAATTTTTCACCAAAATAAATTATCAATTCTTTTTACCATGAATCAGAAGGGATCCATGTAACATGTGTCAACTGAGATTGCGGTAATTCATATTTGTCTTTATTCAAAACTGCCGCAGTGTTTTTGTCTATTTTATTTAATAAATTTTCTGCCTTATCAGCAAGACCTGACAACCATGCCATTTTCACGTAAAAACGAAATTAGACACTTGTTATAACTTTGATGACGTTTAATAAGACACGACAAAATCCATGTCTGCAAACTATAGAAACTTAACCTAAAAAAAAAAAAAACCAAAAGATTCGTATATTAAATCATTTAACAATTTCTATTTATTGAAATTCTTTAAAATTTATCACACAATTGTTCGTAATTAATTCTCTGGTTTAATTAATGAAGTGCATCATAATAATTTAACAAATATTATCATTAGTCTCGTTAAACATAAAAATAATTCATTGGCATAGATTACATTATTACAAGTAAAATTAATAAAGTAAATTTGAAAGGAAATTACTTTTAAATCAATTTTTTTCATATCAGATATACCACAGATATAAATATGATATATTAAATTTTAATACTTCAACATTACTTAATTATATTATTGTTACGAAGATATATAATACTTTAGTTCATGCATAATAATTAACCAAAATTGAATCATGAATATAATTGAACTGTATAAAAAACTATGAATAAATCATATTATATATGATTAATTTCAGAATATTAATTTTGAAAATATTCTAAAATAATTTAGAAAACTAATAAAGTTAATCTAAATGGAAATTATGTATAAATTTGATATTACAAATGAAGAAAACATTTACATAGAATTTAATACTAACTCTCAACGAAATTTATTCATTTTAAAAGATTATGTTTATTTCAATTATATAATTATTTCAACAGCTTTTGAATCCTTGTATGATATTATCACAAGTTTTTTTTACAATGATCTAATTCAGATTACTAATAGTACTTTTATTTTCTTTGATTCAAAATTAAATTTTAAGCTTTTGCTGAAAGAGTTTCAAGATCTTTGATACACTGCAGAAGATTAGCTTTTTCCTGCTCAGGTGTAATAGCTTTTAATACACTGTTTGTAATCCATTGAACCATGTGTTTCTGGGCAATTCTACGATTTATACCATCTATTTGGCTATGATAATCAAGGATTTTTTTAACCTATAATGAAAATGTACATTTCATTATATTTGTAATAAATGTTATCATTTACTTTAATATATTACATTATATTACATTAAAATAAGCATATTACCTCTGTATAAGCAATTGCCAAATTTTCTCTATAATTAGCTTCCAATTGCATTAAAACATTTTGTTTTTTTATGTCATAGATCATCAACTGTCCTTCCGCAGACCACTTTTCCTTTTCTATATTTTGAATTTCAGCATTATGTTCTGCTATAGATTCTTCTCTGCCACTATTAAGCCCATTTTCAACAGCTTCAATTTCTTTATCTAAATATGCTCCAAGCTTGGGTCCCAGTTTGTATGAAGCAAATAAAAAAATGGAAAGCAAACAAAGTCCGGTGTAAAATTCATCTTCCAGAACATACCATTCTTTGGAAACTAAATATGTACCGTAAGTTGTTAAGAACACATATGGGCCTAAATACAAAATTAAAAATTAAAATCATGTCTAATGAAAAGGATGAATAAACATATTATAAGTTACTGATTTACCTGTTACACCAGTTTTAGGATAAAAAAATTGAAACCATTCATCTGGAATGAATCCCAACCTAACTGGAGGTGTCTCTATAGGACGTTTTGGACGTGGTTCACTAGATGACTTAACTGCACTTGTTTGAATTCCACAAGCAGCTATAGCTTTTAATTGTGCAGGAACTGCAAAATAAATGATAGAAATAGAAAAAGTTCAAAACTATTTTCTACCGACCTATTTAAAACTGAATAATTTAAAAATTTGGTTATGATTCAAACTGTCAAATGTGAATATGTTTTACAATTTAATTCAAACATATTGCACGAAACGAAATTTAAAAATTAAATTTGTATTATGATTTTCTAGAAGCAAAATATCATTCAAGTGATATTTCATTATTACATAATGGTAACAAAATAATTAACATCATTTGACAATGACAAAAAAGTTACATTGAAATGATATAAAATTAATAGTCTATGCAACTTTACACAATATAATAATTATAATTTATTATATTTAGTTTTATCTTACTATGACGAAAACTTAATCTCGACAACATTTTGACCTTTTTAGCACCTCACAGATGAATCTAGGACAGCCTGTAATGCTTCTGAAGTTAGCTGCACAGCTGCACAGAAGTTCCTAAGATAGTAGTGCTACAGCAATATATGTAGTATTTTACATAGTTAGAATTTAATCAAATATTATTATAATACTGTAAATATTTAATTATAGAAACAAAACTAAAACTATTTGAGATATTGTGCATTTATTATTAATAAGTCTCCACATCATATTTTCATGCATAATTGAAAATTGCGTTTCAATAATAATAATAATAGTTCACGAATTTTTCAAACTTTTTAAACCAAAATATTTATTTATAAATTTTTTTTTTTAAAATAAAAAATTTTGTTTCTTCTTTTTAATTGCTAATCTAGCTTATGAAATATTTATTTGATGATGTATATTTATGACAGGAATTTTCGAAAAATATGTAATATTTATGTTACATCTTTAAATGGCACAAATAAGGATTCTAGAATTTTTTTTTGTTTTTTTTAGAAAATGAAGCATCATTAAGTTAATTTGATAAGATAAAAAATGTTATTCGAATGGCGTCACATCTTCGTAAAAATACAATCTAATTAAATATAACAGTTTAAATTTCATATTTAAATATATTCAAGTATGTTTTAGTACATTTAAGTTCACGTGTAAATTCCTAAAAATATAAATTATAAAATTGTTACCATTTTCAGATTTTATACTTGTTAATTAATTAATAATTTTATACTTTATAATTGTAAATATGCTACGTCATTGTTTAAAAAACATTCTAAAAACGCATAAAGGTATATTGTATTTTTATCGTATAAATTAGTATCAAAATAAATTTTTGAACTATATATATGCATATTTTAATTTATTTTGAATTGTTTATAATAACAGGTGTTGTGCGTAAGAAGATTGAAATAAATATTTGATTTTTTCAGAAATTCAATATATTTATAAAATGAATTATTCCAGTGTCAAGAATTTTAGTAAATATAAAACTTTAGCAATATCAGTACCAAAAAAATTTATTTACAACGTACAGTTAAACAGGCCTGAAAAGCTTAATGCATTAAATGATACTATGTGGAAGTATGTATTAAGTATTAATTAATATTGCATTAGAAGTTTGATATATTTAATTTGATAATCTTACAGAGAATTTAAAATTTGCTTCGATGAACTAGCTACAGAACCAGAATGTAGAGTGATAATTCTGTCAGGTGCTGGAAAAATATTTTGTGCAGGTATATTTCATAAGAATACAATATAATGAAAAATTATAAAATTTTTAAAATTTAAAAATTTAATGCTGGACGAATGCTGTAGGTATTGATGTACAAGATATAATGAAATTTGGCCAAGAATTGGCAGAACATGAAGATATTGCACGTAAATCCAAAATTTTACAATTACGTATCAAAAACTATCAAGATAGTTTTACTGCAATAGAAAAGGTTATATAATTTTTAATTAAATATAACAACTTTATCTAAAATTCACTATTATTTATTATGGATCATTTATTAATTACCTTCTAGTGTCCAAAACCAGTGATTGCAGCCATACATGGTGCATGTATTGGAGGTGGGGTTGATATGATATCAGCAGCAGATATTCGTTATTGTTCTTCAGATGCATGGTTTCAAATAAAAGAAGTTGATATTGGAATGGCTGCTGATGTTGGCACATTACAAAGATTTCAAAAAATTATAGGTTCTGATAGTTTGGTAAGAGAACTTGTTTATACTGCAAGGAAATTTTCAGCTCTTGAAGCTGTACAACAAGGTTTTGTGAGTCGTTCATTTGATAATCAAGAAAGGTAAAAAATATTTTTGTATTTTATACAATAATGAATAAATTTTTCTATTTTGAGAATAAATTATCGAGTTAAAAACATATTCTTTTATTCTTAGTTTAATAAATGGCTCAATAGAACTTGCAGAAGAAATAGCAAATAAAAGTCCAGTTGCAATACAAGGTTCAAAATTAAATTTAATATATTCAAGAGATCATTCTGTTCAAGAGGGCCTGGATCACATTGTAAGCTTCAATATTTTTCCACCTGCAATAAAAATTATTTTTATATATAGATTTATATATCTTTTTAAAAATATATTTTAACAGGCTATGCATAATCAAAGTATGCTTCTAAGTGAAGACTTTCTAAATGCAGCTGTGTCACAAGCTACCAAAGGTGAACCACCAATATTTTCTAAATTGTAAATAAAAATTTTATGGGAATAATATATATAAGGTGAAGTTTACATATAAAACATATTTTCTTTTAGAAAAAGAATAAACAGTTTTTGTATTTTTATAGCTATTTTAATACTAACATATTTTTGTACTTCTTTTAATGAACGCAATAAACTATATTATTATGCAATAAACTATAGAATTATGACCAAATTAGTTTTAATCAAATCTCTGATAAGTTAATAAAAGACTTTCCAATCTAGGTTTTTTAGGCACGGCTTCTAATTTAGCAGCATCCATTGCATCAACAATAGAATATACATTGATGTCATTAGGTATTTTTACCTATGTATAAATAATATAAAAGTATTTTATAGATATTTTACTTTTGGTTTAATTATATTTAAATTTAATAATTTTCATTATTTTTTATAATAAGTATTTGTAGTAGAATTATAAATATCAATACGTACAAGCAGTAAATTAATGTAATGTTCGTAATTAATTCTTTTTGTTTCTGGATCACATGCTATAGCCATCATATTATTTATTTCTTCCTTTGAAAATGGTTCTCCAATTTCCATCATTGCTTTTTCTAGATCTTCACGCATAATATATCCTCGATTTTCGGGATCTAATAATTGAAATGCTTTTAATAAATCTTCTGGTTCTGCTGGTTTAAATCTAAGTCAAAATCAAAAGTTCAAAAGTTTGAAGTGAAATTTTATGTATATATAAAAAGTGTTAATATTACAATTTTTATATTTTAATGAGACTCAAATTTATAGGAAATTTACTTGCGTTCGTTAATAGCCTTAGTTATATATTCTAGAAATTTATTTAATGGTACACTATTATTTACTACATCTTCCACTTCAACTTGTATTTCTTGTAATTCGGCTTCTGTCACAACACATCCTAATGCCCTAATAACGGTCCCCAAATCTCTAACATCTATTTCACCAGTCTTTGTAATATCAAATACATCAAATATTTCACAAAGTCTTTTGTCTAACAATGTTGGTTCTGGTAATGGTACTGCACAAAAAGTATTGGTTATAAAAATATATGAAAAATATGTAATATAAAATTACAATACTAAACAATATAAATTAAATAATATAATATTACACTGTGCCATCTTTTATATTACATAAAAGTTATGTAATTACAATTCATAGTTTTCTGTAGACAAATTGACTTCATATCTATGACTGTTTGATCAATATAATGTTGAAGAACATACATTTTTATATATGCAAATTCTTTCTTATAGTAATGTAAAATATTTTATATATTTATAAATGATACATACATTGTACAGATTCAACTTTCGTTAACCGCCGTGCTATAATACTTTGTCTGATGGTTTCTCGACTTGCAGGAGTTCTAAGTTCTGATTTCATTGTGTATTTTAAATTTTAATTTAGATTCGTTTTAAAAATATAACCATTTATAAAAATTTATTGCCTAAATTAATATTCATTTCTTTGATAAAAGGTAACTCATGAATTTAGTAAATTGAAAAATCAATATTATATTCTTCATTTGTACAAAATTCATTCTAATTAATATATATATATATATATACATACACTCACATTACTTATATTTAGTTTATATTTGTATTTATGTCTTCAAATATGTTTACAAAAAATTAGTTTCTAGAAATAGATATTTCATAAAAAGTATAAATACAAGTAATCATTATTATTTTTAATAAAAAATATTCCTTCAGTCAAATTTTGTATCGAATTAGAGACTAAGAATCAAATGGGGGAAGTTTCAAATTTTCTTTTTTGGAATGATGAAAAGGCACTATTTTAAAAATGAGCCGTTTGTCGATCTATCTCTGTAAGATCTTCTATTATTTCCTGTACACGTGTTCCAATCTTCTTTGCTACATCTATCTTTTCATTGTTGGGTAAGAAAAGATAACGCCAAACTAAATCACCATCAATAATACCCCTTGCAGGATTACCTTGAGTTCGAATATGGCTTTTATAAGTACTAAAAAAATAAAAAGTAATATAGAAAATATTTATTATTCAAATAATCTCTCATAATATGAATTACCGATATGCTTTGGGATTTAAACCAGCGATATGGCAAATGTGCGTTACCAGAACATTTTGTAACATAAGTAATCTTCTATATGTTTTTTCTGGTACAGGTAATATATAACCAAGACTGCCATCAAGTGATGCTAATAAAATAAAATTAATGTATCTCTATTTAAACAAATTTACAGTAATTTCTTTTATTGAACTTACCATACATGGTAACATGTCTTTTATCTGCACCAGAAAAATGCTTTTTATCGTTTGCAGGATCTGAAACTCTGCATCTTATACGAAAAAATGTATTTACTTTCTGTCCAAGATGAAAATCAGCTTTCCTAATTAATTTTTGTCCTCCAAGACTTTCTCGTGATTCTGGTTGATACATAAATAAAACCATGTTATTTTCACCATCAGCCACAAGAAATCCTAAATTAGTATTGTCAATTAAATATTCAATAGTATAAACTTCAGCTGGCCTAAAATCCTGAAAATGATATATTCGTTATAAATTCTCCAACTATGAAAATAAAATTACAAGAAAATTTTTTACTTACTCTACTAACAAGGGATAATGTCCTATACTCTTCTTGAAATCTTAATAAACTAATAGATTTATATATATCAGCTATTAAAATTAAGCTTTTAATGCTTAACATTTGATGAATATAAATTTGTGTATCTATGAAAGCAACTCCAACAAGATCATTATCTTTCAATTGCCAAATATAAATTTTTTGACCAACTGCTGAAACTAGAAAGCCAGATACTTGTGTAATTGCAGTAATCGGGCCTTTTTGTTCTTTCGCATAAATCTGTTTGAATCTATTTTTTGTTAATGGTTGACCAGGTTCAGGTACGACTTCGATTATGTCAAATATAAGTATCTACAAAATAAACCTTTAAATAAAATAGAATTTAATACATTAAACGTATTTAATATAAAAATAAAATTTACCCTTCCTCTGCTCGTAATATCTTCACCGTAATTGTAGTTTGTTCCCAATACGATGTAACCTTTTAAACCAGATCTTGTACCTTCATAAGCTAAAGAAACATTTTTTAAACAAGTAACATGTTCCCACTGATCAAGTTCAATTTTAGTATTAGGAATAGTTTCCCATGAAACAGGTGAAAACAATACTATTGAAAATTGTTCTTGTGAAGGATAAATGAATCGTTCTGGTCGTTCCTCTTCTGTGAATTCCTAAAAAAAAAAAAAAAAAAAAAAAAAAAAAAAAAAAAAAAAAGGTTTTTTTTTTTTTTTTTTTTTAAAAAAA